CATTTTGGAAATTGGTCATTTACCAATGCGAGTTTAAAGATCTTGTTTTTTTCATGCGTTTGCTACAATATGTTGGTGATGAATGCATAGTAATGTGTTACAAATGGTGTTTACACATTTTTAGAACAGTTTTGATAAAAAAAAAAAAAAAAAAAAAACTGTCGAAAAACAAATGTTTTGAAATAAAATTTCTAGCAGCAGCTTATTATTTGAAATGAAAAATATCGTCTGCAACTTTTAAATTTATTCTTCTTCCAAACTGACATCTAGAAACAAACTGTAGATTAAAGGATATGTTTTTGCACTTACCAAACAGAAATATTCTTATTCCATAATTCAAATGCATTGTAAAAATCTGTGGTATTAGAATTTCTATGTGCAAAAAAAGCAACATTATCAATCAGAAAGGGGAAAAGCCATCAATCATGACTTCTATATGGAAAGATAATTTCAAACAAATACCCAAAAAAGTACATACTGATTCTGATGTTTCTTATAGTTAAATCATTGGTAACAAGAGAATATCTGCCAACACAGAAATCAAAAGTCTTTAAATACATATATAGCAACAATAAATAAAATAATAAATGAAGATTTACAACTTTAAAAAACTAAAAACATAATGTTTACCTTCTTTTGCCCAGGCATGTGGGACAACATAGAACAACTGGTAGAACCCTGTATGAAAATTATTTAATGGGATATAAATGGAAATATTTTGCAATCCTTAATGAAGCATGAATTTATCTAAATGATTGAAATAAAAAAAAAAGGTATATTTATTGTCAAAAATAAAAATAAAAAATCTGATGTGGACACCACATGACTTCCTTATACGGCCTATGAAATTATACACATTTTTTGCTGCATTTCATTTAAAATCATTTCCTCAAATTTCATTAGAGATATGTTGTTCAATCAATTACTACAAATCTCATTTCAGGGCTAGGCAAAAATACATAAAACTGAAAACATCTTCATTAAAAATTGCAAAATACAGGAAACCCTTAAACACCAAATACAGTTAAAAGAATTTTTGTACAATTAAAATTAGAATTTGTGTACAAAAACAAGCAATGCAGCCAGCAGGCAGGTAGACAGATTTTTCAGTGTACCAAACGTTTACTTTTGGTCCAATTCAGCAAAAAGATGCTGAAATTAGTGCACAAACTGGTTTAATTCACTATTCTATTAAGAGTTTCAAATGCAAATTAATTACAGCATCATTAGGTTTAGCCCTACTGAAACTTTTAAATTGTTGATAATTCTACAACTATCACATTCAGATTATTTCAGGCACAAAAACCTTAAACAAAACATATGAAAATAATTCAATCACTTTTACAGCAAAAAATATGCAATTTACCAATATATAAGAATAAAAAAACTGAACTCAATGAGCTGGGTAACAGATATATATACATATATACACACACGCACCTATACAGTGGTGGCCAAAATTGTGGTCACTTTTGGAAATTTTTATGTTTTTGAACTTTGTATGCTTATAGAAAACGTTACGTTTCGCAAAATGCAAACTTGTATATATCATTTTAAAGAGAATTTATTACTGAATTCAATACAAAATTCAATTATTTGCAATACAAAAAAAGTTATATGTACTTTAATATAAATAAAAAAACACAGTTATGAAGTGGTTTGTAATGTCTAGCTTTCCTGGCCAATCACTGTTCTTGTTCTGAGAACCAATCAAATGTTAGTAACTGCCAGTAGAAGCTGACATCATGTTTACACTTGAAACAATTCATTATTTTGCTTCGTTCTGTAGGAGAACCTGTTTCTTATACACTGCAATTACAAATAGGAACTTTTGTAAAAATTTTTAATATTTAGTCAATAAGCAATGACATCCAATAAAAGAGTAGATTGGACACCTAGAAAGAGATGTAATATTATTGTGTTACGAGAAAGTGGTCTTTCCTATGCTGAAATTGCAAGACAGGTAGGTGGTTCAGTGATTACATCTGGAGTCCGAAAGTTTTGTTTACGATATCAGGAGACAAGTTCAATAAAAAACAAAGAAGGAAAAGGCCGAAAAAGGTGCACCACATCTATTGATGACAGAAGAATAAAAAGACTATGTCTCCAAGATAGAAAAATGTCCTCAGCGGCCATTAGAAGTGATCTGAATGATGCTGGTGTTTCTGTCCGTTCAAAAACAATCAGGAGAAGAGCTATAGGAAGATAGGAGAAGAGCTACATCCTCACTGCATTCAAGTAACTGTGAAGAACCCAGTTAGTGTTATGATTTGGTCATGCATGTCAGCAGATGGTATGGGTCGCCTTCATGTCATCGATGGGACACTGAATGCCAGAAAATACATTGACACTATTCTAGAACCAAAACTTCTACCTTCCATCAGAGATCTCTTTACCTACAATGCTTCGTTTATTTTTCGGCAGGATTCTGCTCCTTGCCACACGGGCAAAATATCGAAAGAGTGGTTTCGTACAAAGAGCATTAAATTGTTGTCATGGCCAGGAAACAGTCCTGACCTCAATCCTATCAAAAATTTGTGGCACCGTTTAAAAACTCTTATCCGAATGAGGCGCCCATCAAATAAAAGGGAACTAATTGAGGCTATAATTGTTTCCTGGCATCATGTAATAACGAGCTTAAAACTCTTGTCACCTCAATAAAACGTCGATGTGAAGCTGTAATCAAAAATAAAGGGTACCGTACTAAGTACTGATAACTCACTGCAATCATCACTATGTATTGTATATCGATAACTATTATCATTTAATTTTTTTGTATTGCAAATAATTGAATTTGTGTTTTGTATTGAATTCAGTAATAAATTCTCTTTAAAATGATATATACAAGTTTGCATTTTGTGAAACGTAACGTTTTCTATAAGCATACAAAGTTCAAAAACATAAAAATTTCCAAAAGTGTCCACAATTTTGGCCACCACTGTATTTATATATATTTTGGTGCAACTAACTGCAACCAAAAAGGAAGGTGCATAACTGCATGCTATGGCACTCCCATTTACAAAATTTAAACATTCTGAAATTACTTGTTTTTGAGTTAATGCGTGATACATACATACGTAACTCGTGGAAAAAAATCTCTTCTGAATCCATTTTATGATCCGTTTTGGAAAAAGGATTCTTTTATTCTATCCTTGTGTACAGATGTTACACTAAAACATCTTTCAAATGTATTCGATATTGTTGTTGAAATATGATACCTAAAGTTTTTCGCGATTAAAATACTTCCTTTACTTTGTACAAGGAACTAAAAGTGTACAAAAAATGTATTGGTTCTATCAATGTAAAGAAAATTTAAGTAAGCGATTTATGATCATTACAGGATTCTCTTACAATGGGAAAATAAAAATAACAAGAGTGGGAAAAATTGTTAAAAAATCAACTCAACATACTATCAACAGAAAGTTTTACAATGCAAGAGAAACACACCAAAGTAAAGCATAAAATTAGGCACAGCAACAACCTCGTGTTTGGCATAGATTTTAACATTCTTTCGATTTTGAGGGCAAGTATGTACAGGTTTCTCATTGCAGATTTCTCTGCCCCTGAAGATGAGGGACTAATATTTGTACACATTTAAAATCAATAGAGTCTTAATTAAAATCTACAAGCACAAGGTTGTTGCTTTACCTAAGAAAGTTCTAGTTCAATATTTAAAGAAGAAATTATATTTCTTTATTCCAATGACTTTGAAAGATTTGATCAAGAAAAAGCAACAAGTCATACATCAAAAAGCACCACTGCATTCTTTGAAAAAAGGAAGATTGATACAGGTATTGCATTACACATACCTTTTCAATATATTCCTGCAAAGTCCCCTGATGATTACCCTATGGACTATTATTCTCTTGTCCTTTAGTCTCTTGAAAAAGTTCTTTCTAAATGCAAACCCACCTGATTAATGGGCTGCGGAAAGTAGTGGAAGAGTTCTATCTTAGAAACCACGATGCAGACTAATCAGGAAAAGGGACTATCAGAACAAACATTTCAAAAAATATGCTTTACATTTTAAACGTTGATTAAATGGCCCGAAAATCATTCTAAAAGTGTGTAAACACCTTCTATTTAACACAACACTTAATACTAAATATTTTAGAAAAAGAACCAGTTAAAAATTCTTCCAGTGTCAAAACATCTAACATTAGCATCTCACATATTCACAACAGATAAGTAAACTTAATAATTATTAATGATGTAGTGTAGCAGAATCTTGATTATCTAACATAATTAGAACTAAAGCATGATTACATAATTAGGAATGTTAAATTGAAACTGCTGTTAACAGCTATTAAAGCAGTTCTTCTAAACGCAAAACTACTTTTCATTACAAATTTGATGCAGAAAAACAGATAGAATTATTATCCATTGAAATTTTAATTTCATGCACAAACTAGATTTATTTCATTATATGTAGTGCTATTATATGAATCGTGTATAAAATTATATTTCATAAAGTGTATCTTAAGTCTTTTTAAAATTTAATGCTTTTAATTAATTATAGGAACCACTTCTGCTTTTCACTTCATTTAGCACAGACAGAAAAAGTTCACACACTACCTTAAAAATATGCACAGCTGTAAATAATGTAATACAGGTCATCAAATGAAGTAAAATAACTGATACATATAAATTTTTCAAGATTGGAATGCTATGACCTTGCCTATGAGCTAATAAATTTTCAAAGAAATTGATGTACCGCATTTTTATGTTTATTGTTCTTTTATTCACTTTATCATAACATTTCTGATTGGCTTTATTTATCACTTTATAATCAATCACCTGCTTGTATTTCTAGAGAGTATCAGTTCATTATGGCCTGAAGGGCAATGAATTAGTATTAGATATTGTGCCATTGCATTTTATCCTGTACTTGAAACATTGCAACAAAAACAATTTTTAAATAAAATTTGTGAGCTGAAGGAAAAAATATAATAAAAAGCTTTGTGCCATGGTAGATAGTGAGATAAAAATGAACAACTTACTGTATATTCCTGTAGAATCTGGTTTGTGTTCATGAGGCATGTCAAAATTGCCACATGCAGCCCTTGACTTTTTTTTCTGCAACTGTTTGCTCCTAGAAAATAACAAAAGTATATAATTATAATCTAGTAATAACTTAATAAATACATTGGTTCCACAGAATATTGATGCACCACAATGACATATATGCAACCTTAGGTAAAAAGAACTTTTGAAATGGTTTCTACAAAAATACCAACATTGAGAAAGTACCAGTATATGTAAGAGATGTAATTAACAGAAATTCAATGCAACTCGACCACAAATTTTGCATTGTTTGAGATTTCCATATGCAGCAGTATATACCAGAGTGAACAGCTTTTCTCACTTTCAAAAAGAAACAAAACCCCCTAGACATTCACATAAACTTTGTTCTAAAAATTGCTAATTTGAGCAACATGTCTCTAGATATCTGAAACTTGACTGTAATTACTTACAGTCAAGTACTTTTACAAGCTGGCAGGTGTTGGGAAAGAAATAATAAATATCCATTCATCTACTATCTGGATTTCCTTATGTTCCTTGTTTAAAAAACTACAGCATTAGATAATATTTTACTTATTTATTCTCTTTTACACTCTCTACATTCTTAAGTAGGAAAATGGCTTTTTGTTTATTGCGCCCCACCCTATTGTACAATGATTATTATTAGGTTCACTTGAGACACTGAGTTTGACATCCCTGGTATAAACAGAAAGGTCGACAAGAAGGTCCAGGCAAGAATTAGGCATATCAGTATTATCAGATAGGGAAAAAGTATCGTCATAAAGTGAAGTTTTGTTATGTTTATTTTACTCACTGTTTTACTTTAACTATTATGAGCATACATTTTGTTAACTTTTTTTTTTTTTTTTTTTTTTTTTTTCCCCACACCAACAATTAAGATTCTAATTTTGGGTTAGGAAAAAGAGAATGCAATTCTGTTAAAAAGGAATTACATTTTTATATTCGCAATTCTGTTAAAAAGGAATTACATTTTTATATTCTTAAAAGCTGAAGGTGCTGAACTAAACAGTGCTATGAATCCTTAAAATGGTCCTGTCTAAGTAATGGATTTTATTTTTAACACTATTTCTATTTAATTCTCTTACTATTTCATGTTTGAAGCTTTTCAACTAAAATGCTTTTATGAATAAATTAACATAATATTCGGATAATTAGAATGCTTCATGAATACAATATTTGTATTTTTCTTAATATAAGTTTGAATAATTCATATATTAATCCCTATAACATTGGAGCACCCAAATATATTACAGTACTATATGCCTGGTGTACAGTATAGTACAGTACTATATTTGGATATCCCAGTATTCTTTAATGCTAAAGGGAAAATAAATTGAACAAATAGTTTTACAAAAAAAATGAAAACAGAGAGGTTATTAATTCAAGCATGTTGCAATATAAGATAAAACTATGTTTTATGTGTTCAGGATTTTTAGTTTAGTACATTCCTCTCTGAAAAACATGCATGGGTATATGTCTGTAAAATACAAATTTTTTTTCCAGGGAAATAACAATTCTGTAGGAAACATACTACACATAAATCTAATTTAGAACTCACAGCTGTAGTTAGAAGTATGTGCTTTCCATGATTCATGTATTAATAGGAGTAATTAGCCAAGTGGGGATCTGCATTTATAATGATCAGTTCTGTTGTTTTCAAATTAGAGTAAATTGGTCTTTATGGTGTTTTAACTTCTTTAGCTGCTGCAGTGATCATAAAATCTTATTTAGACGTAACACAAGTTATGAAGTAATGAAATTAGCCATGATTTTGCAATAAAGGTGCAATGAGTTGTGTTCTCATATATCTCCAATTTCATATTTACATATTCCTTTAGTTTCCTCAAAAATATTTTAATGAATTACCATTTGCCTTACTGGTATAAAGTATTGCTGAGTTTCAAACCGGTAGACATTTATTTATGTCTGTACTTTAGTTTGTTATATTTTACTTGATGGTTTATTCAAATGGCCTAGAATGGATATTCAGTGCTTAGCATTCGGTGTCATTTTGATTCTTTATAACAGAGGTGTGTCAAATTTTCTCAGAAGATAATTTTTCCTTTGAAACATTTTTTATATATGAAAATATTAGTCTGAAATTCTTAGCCTAATTAGAACAAATGTACTAAGGATTTTTTGCTCTCATAATTGGTTGACTGTTTAATGCATAATTTTTTTTTCCTTTATGGGGAAATTTTGTTCTGATATTTTCTAATAATTGGCTCAAGTATGAAAGACAATCAAAAGCATAATAATAGGTATGAATGCCAAGCAAAAATAAGGAGATTATTGTAAATAGTGCTTCTATAATATTATAGAAATAGCTAGTATAATCATAAATAAAAAGAAATTTATATGGATGTAATATTTGGCCTTATCACTTTTTAGATCAGATACATAATTTAAATAGTGAGAGACAGACCCTTTGTATTATTTATGCTAATAAAAGGCACTTGAAGTATAAACTTCTCATTTGCCAAGTGATTAAATTCAGTTTTAGAGATTTTGTGCTACAGTTTTTTTATATGAGACTATTGGCAACTTAACAGAAAATTTCTGTGTGTTCAACTTGAAAAAAAAGTTACGGGCAACAGCATTAAGTTATGCCATTTGCAGTGAATTTCTCAAGGAATGAAAGCATGGAACCTCATTTTACCCAAATCTTAAAAAACAGATTTACTCCAGTTAGGAACCAGCATTTGATATAATATATAAAAACATTTTCAGTTACTTTTGTCGCATTTTGATTTAAACTCTGAATTAATTTTTAATTTAGAGTTTTCCTGTAATTTTAAAACTAATTATTACTTCAAATAAAAAATTTTAACTAAATTATTATATAACCATTCTGCTTTTTTTCAAGTTCTTCATATAAAATTCTTTGCTTTTTTTAGATTTATTCTGAAGACGGTGACTACCTTGGTGTTGGGTTGAGTAATAATCGTTTGCACTTGGTGTGGAATTTAGGTTGGCTTTCAAGGAGTGAAATTATTACTAATGTTATTCCACCAGATAAAAATGCATGGCATCATCTTCAAATTGAAAGGTACTTAACTTAAACTGATTTAAAGTAATTAAAATATAAGTCACTGTATTCTTTTAGTCAATCTTCTGAGATTTTCATAGCTATTTAATATGAAGGTAATTCATGCTTGGAATGGTCTGGCTAATTTTTCATGGCATTATTTGAATACTTGATAAGTTGTCATTGAAAACAATTTTGAAACTTGTCCTGCATTGGTGTTCCTTAATTTGCTTCAAAAGGGTCTGTGTACCAAAAAAAAAAAAAAAGTTTTTGAACATGAAGAAAAAACCAGAACAGTTGTGCATGTTATGTTAAAATTATAAAAAATTGGTGAAATCATAATAATCAATTCATGAATATTAAACATTTTGATGATTTTGATAAGTGCTAAAATAAATGAATATTTAAAATATATATATATATATATATATATATATATGAATTTTAAAAAGTTAAGATTAAAATACATAGTAAAAGAATAGTAAAATACATAAGAAGAATATTTTGACTCTACCTATCTCTGTTTACTAATTACATCACAAAAGAAAAAATTTTAATAAACAAAATTTTAACAAACAACATTTGAACCGAAAATGTTAAAAACATAAAAATGAAAACATAGGAGTATTAAAAACATAGGTTAATCTCTTTTATTCAAAGCTTCGAACAGAACATGTCAAGGAAAAAGCGTTTTGAAGCTTCAAACCAAGTTGGTTAACTAGACAAACTAAAACAAGTTTCATTCTGACAAATCCACTGAGACTAAACGGCAAAGCACACTTAAATTCTTTAAGGTACTTATACAAATGTACAGTCTCATTAAGTTTGTCTCTTTTTCTGACTTTTTTCAACTGTCCAAGTCACAAAAATTGAAAGTTGAAATAAGTAATACTAACTAGATACAAAAAGAACATGTCTGTCCTTAGCTGCTTGAGTCAGCTCATGCAACACCCAGCAATTGAGCTTGTATGTCAAGTTTATGCGATTCATAGCACAACTAATAGACATGGCACTGACGTCTAACTTCTTAGCAAGCTATTAAGTAGTTGCATACTGATCGTCTTCCACAAGTTCTTGCAGTTGGGCCTCATAAACATCAGTAGGCTGGCCAGAACGCTCAGCTTCTTGAATGTCATAGTCCTTGTTTTTGAACTTTCAGTACCAAACCCTCATAGTGTCCTATGATACAACATTAGTAATTAAAGCTGCACACATGATTTAGTGACATTCTGTAGCTGACTTTTTGCAAAAGAACTGGAAGTAAATGATGGTTCTAGTCTGGTAGCGTGATACTTCCATTTCAGACACCTTGTACTTAATGATAACGATACTTTTTTACAAATTTCACTATGCAGTGTTTTTACGCAAGTCTTTCAAATGCCAAAAATCATTTGACAAAATGTGATTAAACGCGCCAGCATGAACTGTTTGTGCAGACGATAACCCAATGCATTTTTTACTATGAAACAGGATTGCTTTTAAACAACATTTAATAAACATTTGTTTATGAAATGCATATTAACAACCTGCCTTCTTTATATTTGTACTTGACCCCCCCCCCTAGTTCAGGCACAAATATTCATATATTTGACAGTGTTTATATATATATATATATATATATAACAGATTCCATATCCTTAATTTTAATGGAAATATCTCATCTATTATTTTGAAGGAAAAAAATGATAGAGTAAGCGAGATCATTTAAACAAAACAGACTGAAAACTAAGCTAATTTTGAAAAGTTGCAAGACTAAGGACTGTTCTACAGGCATAGCATCAATGGGAAGTTGTACTATAATAAAAAATTTAAGACTGATAAGAAATTATGATTGTATTGTTTAGAATGTAATGATATTATAAAAGAATTGCTAAAATTTTATTCTGTAGCAAAATTCATTGTTTATCAGTGTGATTTTTAAATTCCTACTATTAGCTCACACTCTCCCTATATCTTGTTCAAATTTTCATTCATTAACAAAATACTTTTTATTCATATATTCAAGTTCAAATACATTTCTTTAAACTTGTTGTGTATGGCACTTGATGTTAATACCGTTTTTGTAAAAGTAATATAATTTTTTTTTATATTAATATAAAAATCCACTACAAGTTTAAAAAACCTTTTACAAAAGTAACCTTTGTGTAGGAATTGACTTTAAATTTTTTTTATACTACTTGCTTTTTATGTAATATTTAAAATATTCATTACTCAATCTAAGAAATAAAAAGAAATGATATGAAAACTCTTAGGTATTTTATTTATAAAAGTCTACAATACTATTTCCATTTGTAACAGTGTTAGCAATATACCTTCATTTCTGTTAGAGAAAGTAAATAGGAATAATATAAGAAAGGTGAAAATAATTAATATAATCTAAAAATAAAATATCAAGAAACTTACATTGAATTTGATTACTAAATATCATATGCTTATGATGACATTTGTTGTTAAAACAGTTTTGTATGCTCATTCTTATACTATAGATTTTATTTTTTAGAAGAAAACTACAAATTTTGAAGATGAAAATTTTCTTTAAGAAATTCCATCACAAAAGTTTAAAAAAAATTAAAATATTTTCCACCACAATAAGAAATATTCATTGCAATGTCAAAATATTTGAAACTGCATTACATGTATAGTATATTAAATTTTCTATTCTCTTTTTTATAGAAGCAATAGCGTGTTAATGCTGTATGTCGATGGTAAAAAGTACACGAGTAAAGTTTCTGGTTCATTTTATGAGCTGAATACTGATGGAAGTTATTACTTTGGTAATTTTATGGATTATTAAAAACAATTCATTAACTATAAATTTAATTTTAAAGTAGTCTATTCTAAGTAGTTACATTTACTTGTTGATTTACTTTCAGGTGGATTTCCTAATGGTTTGAATATTGAAGCTGAAACATTAGGATACTTTTCTTCTCCTTTTATAGGATGTTTAAAAGATTTGGTAATAGGAGGTAAAAATGTGAATATAATGGATATAAAAGAAGGAAAAAATCTTGAACCGTGCTCACTAGAATAACTGTAACATAATTTTAATAATTGCTGCATTTTAAGTATTTTTCTTGGTTTGCTGTATTTCACATTATCTTTTTGAAAAGATAACAAAGTCCATTACTTTTAATATTTTCTTCAAATAATATGACAAGCAATAACCACTTTTATATTCACATAATTGTGTTACTCTTTCATTATTTATCTTGAAATCAATCTGAAGTCAGAGGTTTTATGATTTTAAATGTGTGTTAATACTTTAACATGGTTTGCATATGTATATAAATAGGTAGCTTGTACTCCAAATCTAGCGATGTTTCGGAATTAACCTGTGTAAGATTACATTACTGTAATCCATAGATGCTAATTTTTTAATGTTCTGAATCAATATTGTTATGCATCATTACGCAAACTTAATGCCACTGCCATTTAATAGCATCAAACAGAAGACAACACACTGTCCACTACACTCCACCTTCAAGGACTGCATCCCACGTCAAAACATATTTTGTTCCCAGATGCAAAGATGGGGTAATATTGACTGACTGTAATAAAATAAACCAACAATACACATTAAAAGCACTTTAAAAAATATCTAAATCTGAATAAATGTATATGTAATTTTCAAATTTGGAAAAGAAAGGAGGAAGGAAATTTTAACAGTCGATAAAGGGTTGCATGGAGCAAAAAAGAGTTGAGAAGCCCTGGTCTACCTTGTAAGTGACATTTTATTTGGGCTGTGTTTTGTAGCTGTAATAATCTTAAAAGTTCCTGAGTCCTAAATAATTCTTGATGAATTCTAAAATTTCAAAATGTTTTGTGCTATGCAAGGTATTTAATTTGATAGTAATGAATATTATTCTAGAATTTAAACGTATATTGCAGTCCATATACAGAAATATTTAATATTTTTCTGTTAACGGGGTGGCAGTCATCAAATAGACACCAGATGTAGTAGGCTATTTATATTGATCGCATCATTAGCAGCTGTGCAGTGATCTTATATGTGTAATGTTAATTGTGCACAATTTGTGCAGTTCTCTGTTAGTGATATGTTTTCATGCAAAAAAAAAATTGGAGAATTGCACAAATTTGGCATCACACACAGCCTTAGCATTGCACACATTAATATATTAAATATTATATATATTGAATTCATTATATATAAAAAACTTACTCTTTCCATGAATGTCTATTTTGTGTATAATATTAAGTTACAGCTTTCATCAGGATGCCTCCATCTAGTTAGATTTCACACCAGTGTTCATGTTTGGTGCTAAGTTATGCCCTGTTAACAGAAAAATTTCAAAGATTTTTATAATTTTCAAAGTGTCAAAAAGTATTTATGTGCTTTAAGCTTATATCACAACAAATAAGGAGATAAGCATTTCATTATCATCTGCTATAGAATATTGCTAAAGATTACTTAAAAACCTGAAAAATAAGTCGTCTTATATGAATCAATCATTTAAAATTACAAATTTTTATATCGTATCATTTTTCTGTAAGATAACCAAAGATTTTTGAACTAGTCTATCTGTCTGTATACATGTTTATTTTCCCTCACTGTTGCACTAATTTTGTGTACATTCAGCTGCTTCTGGAAGTATGAATGTTGTGATGTGCATAGAGCACATGAAGTAGGAACTTAGTGTAGCTGAATAAGAACCATCTATGACAAATTCTTATGCCAGATTTCCAAATAAGAAGCTCTATCACCTGAGCTTTCCAAAAATACAAATTAAATTATTTGGTAAATTGTATGCTGATATATAATACTATTTTAATTACAAATTAAATCAGATAAATGTGTTATTATTATAATATGTTATTAATGTTATAACAGTAATGTATGTATCAAATTTAATCTATAATTACATATTTAAGTTTAAGTTTTATATATTTATGGTCTTAGAAATGAAAAAAATATCTATTCATTTGGCAGATTTCTGCATCGACTACTTTTCTCTAACACACAAAAAATTTTGGTAATTTAAACCTATTTTATAATATAATCTCTGCAGGCTTTCAAAATTTATATGTTATAATAAATAAATAAAATTATCAATTTAATTGATTATTATTATGATAATTATTAATTGTAAACAATATTCTATAGCTCATAATTGTAAAATATTATCACTATCAGTTAAAATTATATGCAGAAAATAAATAAAAGTAGTTATATATACTACTACTGCAATTTCTGAAGTATTTGGAAATGTTGAATTTTTTATTATGAGACACCTGTACGAATAGATGACTCTAGTATTCATATTGTAAACAGAAAGGATAGATAAAATTACAGTTACATGAGAAAAAGTATGATTGTGTAGGAAAAGTGTGTGTAGTGTCTTAAATACGAGTTTCTGTTTTGTTTTTCATGTATTTTATGTTAACGGTGGTCTCAGACTAATATTGCACGTGGGCTGAATGCATGGTCTGAAAGCAGCTTAGAAAGTTGCAGAATTTTGTTTAATAAAATAACATTTTTAAACTAAATTTTAAATTTTATTACTAAATGTTTATCCAAGCATGTTTAAACAGTAATAATAATGAGAAAGAGAAAAATTCAAATTTATTTTCTGTCTGAAATTTAAAAGTTGGTATCTGCAAGAAATTTCTGTTGGTACACTTTGTAATTCAAACGTATTGACAGCTAAGTGTTAAATTTTCAGATTGGCATTCATTCAAATAATATTAATATCTTGACTTAACTAATAAATAACTTACTTAATAATAAATAAATTATAAAAACTAAGCAAAGCAAAACTTGAGAATAAATAATGATAACATGTTCTTTTGCTTTTAGTTATTAAGTTTTTCTTCAATTTATACAAAATATTAGATATAGTTATGTACAGATACTTATAGCTACTTATAGCTTTTTGATTATGATAAAAAGTTTGTAGCCTCGAAGAAAAGTCATTAGAAACTATATTCGTCATGAGCTATAGATGCCCATTGGCAATGTCTTTCTTCTTTTTTAATTTTCAACTGCACGAATTTTTAATTGCAGGAAAAAAAAAACTGTTCACATGTAAATAAATATACTTCCAAACAAAGCGATTATTCTTATTGCAAAAATTCTTAACTAAAAGCATTTATCTTTTGTCAAGTACAAATAAAAGTTAATCAAATTTGTATCTTTAAATCACCCAATAAGTTTTATATGGCACTGTAAATTAATTACCTCCATTTGTATATTTTCTGTTGCATTATTCACAAAAATTTCTTCAGTGACCACATGTGGCCTATGGGCTACTATTTTGAGACAACTGATATACAACAAATAAGTATAAAAGGAGATGTTGTGTGTGAAAATGGATATTATAATAAATAATAATGTTCATTGTTTAAAATCAAAAAGGAAACAGTTCCAAAATAATAACTATTAATTCATTATTTTAATTTGGAATTTAATCTGCTCTTATATTAATAATTTTTCGTAGCTATTTAAAATCAAAAGTCTTAATCCGGACTCGTCGGGACTTCGGCGATTCCGGATTATCGATTTTTCCGGATTATAGATCATCAGTTTAAATCTGGTAAGATGGCATGCAGAAATTATAAAATTAAAAATATGAAACCGTAATTTATGAAATAAAAAGCAATTATGATCTAAAGGGTATCAAAATTTACAAAAAAAAAGCTTAATATTTATTTGTTTACTTTATTAAACATTTCTTTCAACGCGCGCATGCGTAAAGCATACATTATATGCATAGCCGAAATTAGAAAATTGCAACCAGAAAACTATTTGATTTGTATTCGTGATATTTATAATGACGAGGAATTTGATTTAAATCATATCAAAGACGAAGTACATCGAGATGAAATACTACATTTAATAAGGAATTATAAGCCGAATATAAAAATTCGCGCAGAGGAGCATGAAATTGATAAACAGATTTCGGAACGGTTAGATAAACAAAGGATATGTCTTTATCCATTTTTTGGAGCAATTCCACTTTTTGTTTGATGGACATCGAAACATACTTTCGCTTTGTAGATCCTTTGGGAGCTCCAGCATCGGAAATTCTATTTGACATAATCGAAAGTTCAAGCTTACTTTTATAAAATTGCTCTTACAGTCTGCAAAAAATAATAAGCCGGATCCAATTCGAAGATTAAGGAACAACGCAATCATGCAACATTAACTGAAATAGATAATTAGATAATTTTAGCTTATACCGTCCGTTATACATTAAACGCGCAGCGAAAACGTATTCTGCGCTTGCGCACACGCATATGCGCAGTCGTAAAGGTCTTACGCGCACGCTTAAACGCCTATGCGCATGCGTCAAATGGCGCATGCGCAGAAAGTTTTTAGCTTTGAGGTCCGGATTATGGGTGTCCGAATTAACGACTTTTGACTGTATATAAGTTGTCTATAAAAAGGAAAAAAAAAGGACAGACAACACAAAAAAAAGGCCATGTTTTTTTTTTTTTTTTTTTTTTTTTTTTTTTTTTTTTTTTTTTTTTTTTTTTTTTTAGGCCTGACAAGAAAGGCATCGGACCTCTGGCTGGGATAAAATAAGCCATGGTACGACGGGGTCCGTTCTAAAATATTTTAATTCCAAAATTATTTATAATTAAATTTAATAATATCATAAATATAAGACAAAAGTAAAATTGTGCATTGCTTCATACATAAACGGCTAAATTAATTCTAAGCAAGCATTTGAAGCTCGTAATGTTTTTCAAATTAAAATTAAGTAAAGTCCTACCAAATTAATATTTGTCATAAATGTCATTAGACACATTAATCATTTAACAGATTTTATTTGCTTAAATTCTTGTCACATGCATTATGTAAAGGTTTGGTTGTATATATAGCATGCAAACTATATTGTTTGATGAAGAATTTCTCTATATTATAAGTTGAAATAAAATGGGATACTTTTTTATAAAAAGAGTTTTTTGATTGAAACTTTATTTTCAGAAAAGTTAACTTTGAATGACATGGAATATTGGATTTGTTAACACACATTGCTAATTTGACAAAACTGTAAACTATTTGAATATTGTTTTTTGGGGGCAGCAGGCATTTGTAAGTTTTTGCACTTAAGGCATATTCTATTACTTTGTAAAATATATCATGATTTGTTTGCAGAAAAATCTTGAAAATTCCTTGTTTTGTTAGAATGAAAGGAAAGCTCATTCTTCATATAAGGGGAAAAATTCTGATGAAAGTTTTCAGATTTTATATTATGCACGGAGGGGCATTTTTTTTAACGTTTTGTGTGTTATCTCTATTTATTGAATATCATGTTCTTCACACTTAAACATTAAAATTCAATTCAAGAACAATATCACAAAATAATTTTAAAAAGAGGTATCTTTAGGGTATCTGATACACAGTCTCGTGCACTGGAGATTATTTTCCTGGAGATTATTATCTTTTAACTATATTGCTGCCATCGCTTGCTTTGAAAACATTGAATTTGTTAATCAAAAATTCGTCAAGTTTTACAAAATACGAAATAGATAATAAAACAAATTGCAAATTGCAAATCTGGGGCTTTTAGATGCCCATATTTGAGTGGTGGACTACATTATTCAAAACTTAATGTCTCTAGGTACTGTTATTTTTTCACAGTGCAAGAAACATACATTCATGCAGATTCTTCATTGTTTAATTTCTTTAAATATAATGCAGGGTTCTAATATTTGGTGGCAACAATTTAAAAAGTGGAACACTGTTTATAGTGAACCAATGCAAAATCCCAAAAGAAAATTAATAGCCCAAAGGGGTAAACTGCCCCTTTGGGCTAAAGAATTTTATTTTGATAATCTTGTTTCCTTCCTTGTCAAAACTGAGATTGTGTTTGACCTGCTTTGCATTACCAACAGATATTATTTCAAAGATAAAGAAATAGATATTATTTCAATAATGAAAAGCAAGTGGCTTTCTCTAATTTTTTATACAATCTTCCTCTAATAAAGTTGTGCATCTCATTAGTACATAATGGTCAGTGGGATAAATGCATTGTTTGCTATTTGAAGACATGATAGAGCTAACAAATAAATTTTTAAAATATGATCTCTAATTTTTTTAAGTAAGTGTGGTGTAAAATACATACATTTTACATAATTAAATTTGTTTTTTTACACCGCTATTTCTCAAAAAGTTAAGAATCATGAAAGTTTTTCATGCTTTAATGTTTGGAGAGTTTGGGTTGATAAATTTCAAAATGCAGAATTTTTTTACACAGTTGGGACATTATCATATTTGTACTTTTGCTAAGTATTTTTCTCTTCAATTTTTCAAAATTAATTTTACAATTAATTTAATTTTTAACACTCTATCTGTTTTAAGATCGTAAAAAGAATGAATGATTAATATTTGTTAAAGATGAAAATCCTAATAAATTTGTTATATAATTGAGCTCCTGTTGTTGCGGAAAAAAACTTATAGAAAATGAAGTTACATTGCATTATTTGATAAATAGAGATATTGTATGTTATGGTGAAACTCTATTTTCAGACTTAATATTCAAATTTTCAAAAGTCGGTTAACTGAGAAGAATGTCACATCATTAACACAGATTCATATTATTATTTAATATATCTGTTCAAAATCATGGAAAATGTAATTTAAAAGTCTAATAGTTATTTTATTTGTTTCTAAAATGATTTATTTCTTAATTACTATATTTGTAAATGTATTATGACTTACCATCCATAAGGTTCCTCCTCATAACTTTTCAGCAAAATTGATCTTTGAAGCTTCAAGCACAAAAACTAATGTAATGGAAAAACTAAAATAAATAGAAAAATGATGGAAACAATATCAGAACTCAGTCTTTAATCAATTATAATTAAAAATGATTGGCCTAATTATATGTAAATCTTTCGTGTTTAAGATTAAGAAGATATTCAATTATCTTTTCATAAATTTTGGTAATAACACTCGGAATGTTACATTAGTTATGAAATCGTGAAATTTTTTACTGCGTCGTTTGATTTTTAATATGACATCAAAAATGATTTTTAAGTTTTCCTGATTTAAAGCCTTAAAATATATCAATAGAGAAACGCCTAAAACGGTCTTTTGACGGACGCCTAAAAGGTTTGTTTAGGTTGCTCACGTTCTCGCTGAGCTCGCAGTCTACCAATCTGCTGTTGCCTTCACTAAGCATACTTTTCTATGCAATACGCAATATACAAGCTGTTGGCAAAATCACAAAAAAATTAAAGCAGCATATCTTTAGAATTCCCGATACAGTGTTATGTGTTGTCATACAGTTTCATATGTTTGTAGTCTTTTCTCAGTTCATCATATCATTATTCAGTTTTCTTAGTAAAATTGTTTACAAAACATATTTTATTATTAACAATTTTTGTGTTAGCTTTAATTATTAAATATCACGCTCTTCGCACTTATGCGAGATAAAATTCAACTCAACTGCAAAATCACGAAATATTTAAAAACAGCATATCTTTAGAATTCCCAGTAAAGTATACTGCTGGCCACAGTAAATGCAACATCCTAAAGTAAGCATGCAAATAACATGAAATTTACAACATGCATTAGCGGAGGTGAGATATACAAATGATTAGAATTTCAGCGCAGACGCACATCACGCGCGCCTGTGGCGCCACTTCAAAGCGCTATTTAAGGCTTGGAGTTTTCGACGATTTCAAGTTCGGCAATTTTTTTTCTTTTTTTTCTTTCCCCCCCCCCCAGTTATGCCTCGTAGTAAACAGTGATCATCGTTTGATCAAGTATGAGTTCGACAGAGGAAGGATAGTGGCCTACCGAGAGTGTGGATTATCTTTCAATGAAATCGGTAGTCGTGTTGGACGAAACCAAACAACTGTAACGCGAATATGTGACCGTTGGATGCAGGAGGGTACGACGGACCGACGTGTTCGATCGCGTCCGCCTCAGTGCACCACTTTGCGTGATGACAGAAACATTGTGCGTATGGCAGTGACGGATCACGAACCATAGCACAGCACATTCAGTCTGTAACGCATCATCCAGTGTCTGCGCGTACCATTCAACGCCGTTTACAGCAGAGTGGTCTGTCCGCAAGACGTCCATTGCTTCGTCTACCCTTGACGCAGAACCACAGACGTCTCCGCCGCCAATGGTGCGATGAAAGAAGGATGTGGACGGCAGAATGGAATGAAATTGTCTTTACTGACGAGTCACGCTTCTGTCTGCAACACCACGATGGTCGGATTCGAGTCTGGAGACACCGTGGAGAGAGGATGCTGAACAGCTGCGTTATGCACCGCCACACTGGTCCTGCACCGGTATTATGGTATGGGGCGGTATTGGATATCACTCTCGCACTCCTCTAGTATGCATTGCCGGTACTTTAAACAGCCAGCGCTACATCTCCGAGGTGTTGGAGCCAGTTGTCCTTCCTTACCTTCAGGGCTTGCCAACAGCCATATTTCAACAGGATAATGCGCGACCACACGTGGCGCGCATTGTCCAAGGGTTCTTCGTCAATCGCCAGATTGAATTGCTTCCCTGGCCGACTTGCTCTCCGAATCTTTCGCCGATAGAAAACATGTGGTCCATGGTTGCTGAACGATTGACCCAGATTACATCCCAAGCTGCCAGCACCAGATCAACTTTGGCAATGTGTGGAAGCTGCTTGGTCTGCTGTACCCCAAGAACACATCCAAAGTCTCTTTGAATCAATGCCGAGGCGTGTGGCAGCGGTGATCTCCAACAATGGCGGCTACTCTGGCTACTGATTCTGGAAGGAACCACACTTCACAGAAGTCTATAAATTTAATCATTTGATACTTGGTCAACATGTTATCTACTAAATAAATTTTGTTGTGATATCTCTTGTCTTTCTTGGTGTTGCAATTTGGGTGGCCAGTAGTGTATTAGAGGTTGCCAGATATATTGTTATATTTCCCATATTATTTATTTAAAAATTAGCTGCACATGTGGCTGCCCCCCTAAAAAAATTATCATAAAAAGGAAAAAGTATATAATGATTTTAATGTGTCCAGATAGTCTCATTTCATAAAAATATTGAATATTTGTAATCAGAAAGTAATGATTTTAATACATGTTTATTAAATGAATCACATTAAGAAGCAGAAAAAATATTCTTAAGAACTGTGGTTATTGCTTTTAAACCATTTAGTTTATTCCTCAATAACCTTCCAGATTAACTTTGAAAGTATATTAGGATTTTTACTGACTGACATTGATATTTTACTGATTGACATAATTTTTGAGTGAAAGCCGCCTAAAGCCTAGTTATTATAAAAAAGAAAAATTATAAATGATTTTAACTAATTAAAAATAGAGATGAAGAAGATGTTTATTGATTTTAAATCGCTTAGTTTGTTAACCAGTAAAAGACAAGTTCAACAGCAACACGCGGACGCATGGAAGATAAAAAAAAAATAATTAATTTTGAACTGTGGCAACATATTACTTTTAAATTGCTGAGTTTTCTGATTAAATTTGAAAGATAAATAAATATTCTGCATTTCTTCGAATGGCAACACATTTCTTTTAAATCGCTGAGTTTTCTGGTCTAGTTTAAATCATAAATATCCTGAGGTTTCAGAAATGGCAGCACATTGATTTTAAATTGCTTAGTGTTTTGTCAAAATTTCATAATTTTTGCATAAAAAAGGTAGAAACGTATATATAATTGCATACATATATATACATGCAAGTTCTTCATTATTCCATAGTATTTTATTTGCGTTAAAAGCTGTGAGAACGATTTAAATTCTGATCTAGGACTTCAAAATCTCTACTTAAGATTATTAATTTTAGCTGCTGTTACAGCAAATTTTAACCGAATTTGCGTAGCCAAGTATGAACTATCAAATGAGAGAGAGATCGTAATAAAAATTCTTCATTTATAATGGAAAATATTCTTGAATGCTTTTTCGTACACTAGAGTGTCTTTTGAATCTGTAATGACATTTTTACAACTTACTGAGTTGTAGAATTATTTTCTTGTTTTCTAGCTTGCTTAAGTAATTACTGTTTTAAAAAAAGCTTTTATCCACTTGTTTAGATTAGACCTGAATTTAATTTGCAATGGCGACGCTACGTGCTTTCGCCTGTAAAACATGTTTCCCTGTATTCACTAGAGCTGTGCAGTAAAAACACGATTAGTTCGTTCGCTTCTGTCGCCATTTGTTTTACTTTTTATGGCTTTAGTGTAGAATTGGGTGCCCCTTCGATTGGCGACATTTTTTTTTTTTTTTTTTTTTTTTTTTTTTTTTTTTTTTAAATTTTGGCGATGAAACTTCACTTTTGGTTACCACGATAGTTTTAAATTTGTTTTAGCTTCCCGATTTTATTTAAATGAAAATAGATTGACGTGTACATGGACATATTTAAGGCAGTGCGCAATGCCTAGTTTGTGCAATTCTAGGATGTTTTTTTTAAGTAAAAACAGATTGATGTGTACATGGACACAGATCTTATGCAATTCTTCGACTTCTAATTTTGGTTTTGCGTAGCGGCCATCTTGAAATTGTGACTTCCTGGCGCCGATCTTGGCGTCAAGAAAGAATCGCCAATAAACTAGGGGCACCCAATTGTAAACTTTTACCCTTTTTATTTATTTATTCATCGTATTAAATAAATGAAAACACTTCCATGGTTAGGATTATAATGAAATGTGTAATTAAGGTTTTATGTCAACTATATATTTATGATTTATCAGCAGATATAAAGTGTGCATTAATTATTGATACAGAACTAAACCTACTTTTTTTTGGGGGGGGCGTCCGTAAGTGCATTTTCCTTTTCTTTCCAGTAGTGCCGTTCCTTTCCAATGTGCTTTAAATGTTTATTTCATCAGCCGCTTGAATGGTCAGCCGCCTTAAATAATTATGAAAAAATTCATATATAAAGAATGAACGAAAAAGGAAAATCTGAAAGCTTTCAGATTTTATATTACGCCCAAAGGTCATGGTCTGCGGAAAGGAGTAGCCCGCAGATCACGACAAGGTCCCAAACTCCGGGAAGTTTTATGTGTTTAATCAAAAATTTAGTACATATATACTCTCAATTTGGTTTTTACGAATTCCAATATGTCTCTTATGCCAATAACTTTCCCTGGGGAACCAGAAATGTAAATTAAATAGAGTATTAAATAGAAGATTTTGGATTGTAAGACAGAGCGTGTCTTTGCCTCTCGAGGCCACGTTATTAGGTTTCCCCAGCTTTCTTAAGATTGTAATTATTCGGCTTTACGTTACAGCTACCGTCATTTAAGTTGTAATGCCAGTTAAAAGTTTTCAGCCAACTTCGATTTAAATTTGCTTGTGTAGTCTTAAATACTAGCCTGTATTTTCAGCTTAAATTTTGACTGTTATCGCCACAAGTGGTGGTTGATATTGTCTAGCACGAGAAGTTCATTTTATGCTCAAATTCTGATTCAATAAAAAGATTATTTTAGACTTCTGGCGTCTCTGTCGTTAACTTCAGACACAGCGATAATTCGTTCCAAGTCTGTTGGGAGTTTGATACTAGTTTATGCTACCTAAGAAGTTCAGTCTGCATAAATTAAAATATATATTTTGGAGAACTTATCTTGACGTCTGTAAAAACAATTCATAAAATAGCTGAAGAATTTAATGTCTAAGGGAATAAACAGCACCTGTCCAACTGACATTTTACCTTGAATATTTAACGGAGATTATCAACGATTTTTACACAATATGAAAATGGACGACAGGAACATACAAGATATTTGCTACAGTAAAGAAAAATAAAAGTCCCCCCCATAACGTCGTACACATCTTTTGATACGTCTTAAGTTTACGGCGACCTCGTCTACTTCCCCCCTCCCAAAAAAAAGCTGTGTCAGACAGCGCGCAGCAGCATCTGTCAGTCGTGAAAGATGACATCCCACATTGAAACAAGAAAAATATTGACAATTAATTGCAAATTAATTGATTGGCTTGATTCTTAATTGTGTCGAGAACAACAAAGCATGTTGTTCGGCACTCATTAATCGTCTCGATTTAATGTTTTAAATACTAACCCCTTAAAATGTTCTATTTGAAACATTAAACAAAGGGTGATTAATATATTTTTTAATATTTATCATTCTCTAATATAATTGTTTACATCACTTTTTCCATTTTTTCGCTTTTTTAACAACAATCTGTATATAACGTGTAGCCATAATTAAACTGACAGTGCTCACAGTGTTCTGTAGCGCGATCTATTTGCGAGAATGAAGCCACATTTTGTAGAAGACAGCGGAATTTATCGTAGGTCCATTCTTCTATGAAAACATTACCCCGACAGGACCGGAAACCTGTTCTGTTACCGGAGAGAAATATCGCCACATGTTGAACAGCTTTGTCATTCCGGCACTTCAGCAAAGACAATGCCTGGGGGAAATCATTTTCATGCACTCCACACGTTTCTGTACGGGTGCAACAGATGCTACGACAGAAATTCACAACAGAAAGAGTCATTAGCCGCTACTTTCCAACTGCATGGCCACCTCGGTCGCCTGATCTTACCCCATGCGACTTCTGGCTGTGGGGTTACTTTAAGTCCAAGGTCTATCAAGGAGTGGTCCAGGACCTGGCTACGTTAAGGATAACATATCACGGACTATACGGGAGATCCCTGCGGACATGTTACTTTCTGCTGTTGTGCATATTATGCACAGAATACAATATGTGGTCCACAACAACGGCAGCCACTTTGAACCTCATTTGAATGCAAAGTAAAAGGTAATTTCCGTATTGATTTGCATTTGTTAACACTCTATTTTCTATTACACAGCGCCAAATATTCCCCTAGCGGTGACTTTTGACACTAATTTTTTTTTTTTTTTTTTTTTCGCGGAATCCTTCGTCCCCCGTCTTGTTTAATCTTCCTACAAAATGGGGCGTCATTCTCGCAAATAGATCGCGCTACAGAACACTGTGAGCACTGTCAGTTTATACGAGTGGCCATAATTAAACTCGTATATTAGGCTTAAAATATTTTGTCACTTTTTCTTTTTTAATTAAAACTTATATATACATACGTGTGTAAGATATAAAATATGACAGAAAATTATGAACTTAGTCAATAGTCTTTCTAATTCCTCATTTCAACTTGGCTACGCCCCCTTCCTGCAATCTAAGCTGCGTCACTGGAAAACTAATTCGCATTATCTAATGATGTGATCCGCTACATAAAAATGTGTGTGGGGGGGGTGCTTATAGCATCCAAAATTACGTACGCACATGTTTATGCTTATCAAGAATGTCTACAAATAATTTTTTCCCTCAAGTTTCTCTCCATTATGTCATCCTGTGAATCGGCGCATTAAACCCTTTCCAAGTAGTTACAGGTAACATGTCTTTGTTAACAGCTATCTTCTAATCCCCAAGTCACCTCAGATGCAAAATAGGCCTACCCTTTTTTAATTATTTTACAAAGAAGCAAAAAGAGTTTTCATATACGATAACTAATTACGAGGTTTGTTTCAAAAGTTCTTGGAATTTCGGTATATTTTTTTTATTATTTCGTCAATTTTCATCAATATTGCAATGCCATTTTTCACCATAATCCTCATTTAATTTAATACACTTATCCCAACGAGAAACTAATTTAATCCTTCTGCTTATGGCGTGGTTAAACTATACATTAATTTTATGTAGTCGAAAACCCCGTAAAGGTTTTTACAAACGCGGCAACAGAATACTTCTTCTTCCATAGTTGCAAAAACGGCGCTACAAAAATGAGCCTGTATCAGCCCAATAGTATTGCATGGGATATCTGCATAAACATGTTAAGATTTGTTTATGGCATATAAGTTCCAGGAATTGAATTAGAATTAATTTCTTATACTTTGGAAACACATTATTTAATTAAGACACAATAACACGCCGAATAAATACTAATTCAGAAGTCAAACAACAAAAATCAGCGTTAATTTGCAAAATTTTCACAGGACTAGTTTCGATGGTTTTACCGAACCATCATCTTCAGCTGCAAAACCGCAAATGCATTTGCGGTTTTGCAGCTGAAGATGATGGTTCGGTAAAACCATCGAAACTAGTCCTGTGAAAATTTTGCAAATTAACGCTGATTTTTGTTGTTTGACTTCTGAATTAACATTATTTAATATTAGGTTGACTACTATAGGTTTCAAGAAAACGTTGATGTGTACACTACATGACTTCTTTGTACGGCCTATTAAATTATACACATTTTTTGCTGCATTTCATTTAAACTTATTTCCTCGTATTTAATTAGACATTCAATCAATTCAGTTCTCACTCCGTGGCAAGGCAATATACAGAAAAACTTAAAACATCTTCATTAAAATTATAAAATGCACAAAAACCTAAAACACCAATTACAGTTTTAATGGAAAAAAAAAAAAAAAAAAGCAATTCCGCCAATGGACAGGAAGAAAAAATTTTTGGTACACAAAATTGAAAGTTAGCTTTTGGTTCCACTGGGCTAAAAGACACTAACGTTGGTGCTGACTTGATTCACTAAAAAAGCAAATTTAAATTCAATTAAATTTAAGTAATGAAATTTAATAGCAAACAAAAAAATGATTAATTATTGCTGCGAACTAATCTACAATATCATTTAAATTCTGAGAACATACGTAAATCAAGTGCAAGTATCAAAATCCATGAATATATAATTCCAAAAAATTTTTTAATCCTAAACAAATTATAAAAATGCATAAATGAAAAATTGTTGAGCAGGCAGGAGACAGACTTATCAAAGGAAAGTTGCCTACAAACCTAACTCTTCAATTATTCAATTCGTGTTTTGTCATCCATGTAGGCAAGGGTAAAAGTAAAATTCAAAACCAAATGTTGTAAATTACTAAAAGAAATTTAAACAAGTGGAATTTCGAGAAATTAGCAAGTACACGACTAGAATTAAAATTTAAAAAAAATTTGATGTGTACACCACATGACTTCCTTGTACGGAATATTAAATTAAACGCATGTTTTAATTTCATTTAAACTTATTGGATTGAATTAAATCTACTTCGTCGACAGCGCATAAACCACAATAAAATAAATGCACTCTTTAAAATTCACTATATTTGTTTACCATAGCGACACTCTGGCGCTAGGTTCACTTAATATTTCGTTCATATTATAACTCAGAATGCACAAAATTTATATCATTTGAAGAATTACCTTATCGTTGTCACATGTTCTATTGAAATACTATAATAAAGCTAGAACGTTGTATAAAAGAAATTAAGCAAACAAAACAAAAAAGAAACAGTTTTTCACAGACGATTCAGTATTTCTCATTCAATTAATTCAGTTCTTACTTCGCGACAAGGTAAAAATACATAAAAACTCAAAATATCTGTATTAAAAATTACGAAGTAAATCTTATACACTTATTTCCTCGAAAAAATTCGAGAAAGGATTAAGCATGATATTTATATTTATATACGTTTGGTGCGGCCGATTGCAACCAAAATACGAGGTGCACTTCAACATCTTATAGCAGACCTATATACAAAATTTCAACGTTCTGAAGCTACTCGTTTTTGAGTTATGCGAGATACGTTCGTACAGACGCCGCGAAAAATTCTCTTCAGAATTCATTTTAAAGCAGTTTTATAATTTTTTTGAAGGAAAAGAGTCTTTTATTCTGTTCTTACGTACAGATATCACTCAAAAACATCGTTAAATTGCATTCGATAGCGGTCAAAATGGATATTTTCGTTGAAATATGCTGCCTGAAACTTTTCGCGATTACAATACTTCCTTTATACTTCGTACAAGGAAGTAAAAAAGGTTAATTAAGAGTAGAAAAAAACCAAAGTAAGTTTGAAACTCTTACATACTGAAAACTTCTCCAACACGAATTATGCATAT